TTTTCCATGAGTTTGGTGCTGCTGTAGTCCCCCTCCTGATTTCTTCTGGGAAGGAAAGCTGGTGAGGAAATCTACTTTCTCAGACCTCTGTGGCCTGAGGCAGTGATCACCTTGGTGAAGGGCTCCTAGTCCCACCTCCACAGTGCTGGTGGAGGCACTTTCACAGCCCTTTGGCCCCTCTGCTTTGGGATGGGTCCTCTCTGCAAGCAGAGAAACTGCTCTCTGCTCCTTGCTACCTTCTCTGCATTCCCAGCCTTGGCCTTGGAAGTGCTGGAGGATGCCCAGAAAGTCCCAAATTACGTCACAGAAAGAGCTAGTTAGCACCTGAGCTCATGCTGAACATCTTGCTACCTTCCCCTTCCTTCTCCTTTTCTGAGGCACCCCCTTTCTGAGCTCACCACACCTGCACCCACCCAGGGGCTGCATCCTGACAAGGAATTGCTCGTGCAGGTGTCCCTCCCTCCCACTGCAGGTCCGTGATCATGGTTATGTTGTTTTCCAGGTTCATACCTTCCCCACCTACATTCAAACCCCAACTACAAATGGCCAGGTTCGGCTATGTTGAGTGTGGGCGTTATTCAAGGAGGTACTTCAGGCCTGGAAGTGTGCAGGAGCCAGCCAAAGCCCCGGAAGCAGCACAGGACTCTTCCCAACAATCATCACATTCAGCAAACTGCCTGGAAACAGAACAGAATTCTTCCGAAGAGTCATCAGATTCAGAGGACTCCCTGGAAACAGAATGGGATTCTCCTGAACAGTCACCAGATCCAGAGAACTCTCTGGAAACAAAGCAGGACTCTTCCCAAAAGTCATCAGAGGCCTCCCCAGAAGCAAAGGTGGGTTTTCTTGTGCACCTGCCACCTGTGTTGCCTCCCCCAGCTTGCTACCAAAAAGCCGTGCTCCTGCTGACCTCCGCTTTTGCTGCCCTGCTGATCTGTGCCCTGAGAGTGGGCTGGGCAGCAGGGCCAGTGGCTGGACGTGGGGCGTCTGGGGAGGGAGAAATAGGATACTTTTCTTTGGAGAAGCCCACTCCGATCCTACAGACCTATGCTGAGTTGGGGATTTTTTGGCTTGTTTTCTTTACAATGTAAAATGAGGCTTTTCTGCATCATGATGAGAAGGCTCCCAGTTTCCTTCCTGTAGCAAGCTGTGCCAAATCCTGATCTCCATGTACCCCCTTCCCAACCCAGTTGGACCACCCGTTTTAAGGTCTCTGCCTTCACCCACGAGCCGGCATTGCAGTGACGGCCCCAGAGCTGCCTTTTATAGAGTGAGACTTGGCAAGGTGGCTGTGTCCTGGAATGGAAAGTGCCTTGTCTTCCAGGTGCCACCATCCACTGCTGCAGGGCCTCGGAGCTCAGTGGAGACGAAGGGGTCTGGACAGTCGGCGGAGGCAAAGGCCCCTGGCTTCAGAGCGGAGGAGGTGAGTGGGAATCTCTCTCGCTTGCACGTTTTCAGTGTGGCAAGCAGGTCTGTTGCCCCCAGAGCTACAGAACTCCCTCTGGAGCACCCAGGGAGGGCATTGCTCCCCTGGTACCTCATCAGGTGCTCAACAGGATATTTTTCAGGAGCTTTTGGTGTAGCACCTTGAGAGAGCAGCATGTTAAGTCAGAGAGAGAGGGAAAAGCCTCAGGAGTCACATGAGCTGGGCTGGAGTCTTCCCCTCAGCTCCAAGAGCTCTCACCTCTGAGTCTCCTGCTTTTCTGAAGGCAGTAAAAACCAGTTTTAAAGGCAAGTTCTGCAGCAGAGAGAATGTCTTGCTGCCAGGAGACATCCCAGTTTACTTTAATGTCTGGTATTAATTAATGCATTGAGCAGTAAGTATGGCAGAAGACTTGGGCCATGCTCCCTCCACTGGTCAGTGGCATGGAGGCAGGATGAGATTAGGATGCTTCTGGCTGGTGTTTGAGGAATAGGCCCCTCCAGCTATGGTTGTACTTCGCTCCAGGCCACGGCTGCTCTTCTGCACCCATTTCCACGCTCAGTGACTCGATCTCTCCTCCCCTCCTGCAGGTTTTCGATGTCCAGCCGGTGTCCGGTGTGCTGCAGCCGGGCAAGAGCCAGCAGGTACCCTTCACCTTCTTTGGCCATGCCAACATCATCACCCGTGTCACAGCGCTGTGCCGGGTGGAGGGAGGCCCGACCTACGAGGTGGAGCTGAGGGGGGAGACTTCGGTCCTCACCTACCACCTGAGCGACAAGGAGATTGACTGCGGGCTGCAGGTACCACCCCCTTCTCCTGGCAGAGCTGCTGCCTTGGGACCATCACCAGCAGGTTGCTGCCCAGCCCGGCCCAGGGCTCCCTCCCCTTCCCAGCTCCTTTCTTGGCTCTGGGGCTTGGAAGTACAACCTTGGAGGGGTATGTCTGGCATCCAGACTGCTTTGCAATGGCCATCTCCACCCCCCTCCAGAATGTTGGGAATTCCTTCTCTTCAGGGTGCCTAATGCTGCCTCCTGGAGCAAGCAGGATCCCAGTGGGGATGTCCAGAGAGACATGTCCCTGAGACATCCCTCTGCTGATCCTCTCCTAAAGCCTGAGCTCCAACGAGATGCTCTTGTTTAATGCTCTTGCTTAATCCACAAAATAACCTGGTTGGGCTTCCAGTCACTGCAGTTGGAGAGAATGTCCCAGAATAATCCCCACTTTCCTACTTCTCAGTTAAAAGTCCACAGGTCTTTCCAGCTGCTGTCCCTGTCTTGGTGCCCCATCTGTCTCCTTTTTGGCTGGTGTGTTGCTTGCCAATACTTGCATGCAGATGCCTTTTCTTCTGGAAAGCCTCTATGCCACCTCCTTTGTTTCTCCTGGCTGTTGGTGACCCCTCAGAGTGCAGAGGGCCTGTGTCCCCTGCTTCATTTCTTACTGGCCCTCCCACGGTTGTTTCTGCCCCTCTGTGTGCTGCCAGAACTCTGTTCCTGTGCAGGTCCCTGTGCCTGGGGGTTCCCCACGTTCCCAAGTGCCCGTAGCTCGTCCCCGGTCCCTGCTCCTGCGATGTGTCTGCTTTCAACCCCATGAAAGAGGAAGGGGATTCCCAGCAGCAGGCCTGTGTCTGTAACTTCCCACTCCTCTCTCCTCTCCAGCTCTTTAATGAAGTCACCAGAGCCGAGGTCACCCTGCGGAACAACGGGAAGGTTGGATTCACCTACGTGGTACAGAGCCCCAGCTCTGGCACTGCAAAGAACCCTCTGCCTGGTGTGCTCGTGGTCCTGCCCAACACAGTGAGTGGCACAATTGACTGACCCTGTGTCAGGTGGCCAAGGAGAGGGTTAAAGAGAAAAAAGGGGTGAAAACAAAACCAAACCCAGCCATGGGAGACAGGGCTGTAAGCAATTGCTGCTGGGGGCAGAGAAGGTCAAGCAAGTGCCGTCCTAACAGACTCCCTGTGGCCTTGGCTGGCGAGTGGCTCTGCCATCCCAGGGCAGCCACTGGCGGGAGGCACGAGCACTTTGGTCACTCCTTGGCCCCCGACTGCTGAGCTCTGTGGCTGTGCTGGCACTGAGGCTCTTCTGAGGGTCACCTTACCCCAGCTGTGGGATCAGACAGGA